CATTTCTGGCAGTAACTGAAAAAATGGAGACTGTGGCTCTTAGACTCTGACGTACAAACCTTCTGATGTACACACAACGATGCCATTGTCTTGAATTGTCAGCCCATTTTGGATGTGAAATTTGATATTTAAAGTAGAGTAAATGCTTCAGAACCCTAAAAAGGTCTGAACTTAAATGTATGGGTTGAACTTAAATATATGCTATATATAGTAGATCAAAGCAATTATATTAATACCTTTGGTTTTAGTTCAAGATACTATGAATGCAAATGAAGTGTAAAGAATCCGATTTATTTGATCTTGACTTTATTTATTTTTTTAAGAGTTTTTTGCCTGAGGACACATGTGCTGCTGGAGAGAGAGAGAGAGAGACAGTGAGAGAGAAAGTGAGAGATCACCCCCCAGGGGGGATGGCCACGCTGCAATCCCTTCTCCTCCATTCTCCTCCCGGGATCTTGGGCACGCACGCACACGCGCCTGGCGTGAGTTTTAAGTCACTGGGGTGGACGGCCATGTGGGAGTCCAGCAGTGTAACCGCTAAGCCATCTGGTGGCCCCTGGATCTTGGCACTTTAAGCTGAAAGGTCTAGGAGAATTTGATTATGCCTGTTAACATTATTGGCATATTTGGAATATTTAAGAAATTTATTATTTATTTATTTATTTATTTATTTTAGTGTTCCTTACAAAGTGCATGTGCTCACCAGAGAGACAGAGAGATGGGAGAGGGGACGTGAAAACTCAGGGCCTTTTGAAATTTTTTTAATTGCCGAAGGGTGCAAGCACTCGCCAGAAAGGGAGGAGAAAGCAACCTCCAGAGGGGTGTGATTGCACCCAGGCCCTTCTCCACGTCTCCATCCTGTTGGGATTAGGGGCACGCACTCACACGGGCTCAGTCTGGCTTTCCAGACGCCAAAACTGGCATTCGAACTGTGGCAGCTGTGTGGGATCACAGGCCACGGGACCAGCTCTGGCCATGCCTTTTTTTAAAGGGAGATTTTTGTGATAGGGCACATGCACTTGCTGGAGAGACAGAGAAACGGGAAGTGAGATAGAAAAACATCCCATGGGGAACCAGCAGTTAGCGTAATGGCTATGTCGCTGGACTCCCACATAGTCGACCGCGGTTCGCGTACCGGACCCGGTGGCTTAAAACTCACGCCGGGCGCGTGTGCGTGCGTGCCCAAGATCCCGAGAGGAGAATGGAGGACAAGGGATTGCGGCGTGGCCATCCCCCCGGGGGGTGATTTCTCGCTTTCTGTCTCTATGTCTCTGTCTGTCTGGCGAGCGCACGCGCACTATAGCAAAAACCTCTCCAAAAAAAAAAAAAAAATAAATAAAGCATCCCATGGTGGGATGGCCACACCACAATCCCTTCTCCTCCATTCTCCTCTCAGGATTTTGGGCTTGCACACACATGTGCCTGGCATGTCTCAAGCCACCGGGGCCAGGACTCGAACTGCGGTCTGCCATGTGAGAGAGTCCAGCGTCCTAACCAACATGCCACGTGCTGCGCTCTCCCATGACCTTTTATTTCAACTATTTTGTTTTGTTTTGTTTTCAATCGAGCTTTTCATGAAAAGATCATACAACAGCAGTTTTTCTTCGCTGTACATAAGACTGCACGCTTCTGGATGGAGAGACCAGTCCTGGGCATCACTTGTCTGTGACGGGGAGAGCTACGTAGCTGCGCTCTGACCCGAATTATCCCCACTCTCGAAAAGGGAACTCGATGTGGTGAGTGGCAGCGATGGTGGCCATTACGGGAGTGCGATCCTAGCGTCCCTCCCCCTCTGGGGAAGGGCCTACAGTAGGACAGGACCCCTCTTCCAGTTCCAGTTGAACCAAACAGCTGTAACCGCACCCCTCCCTTTCCCCCTATCAGCCAGTGGGCCAGTGCCTAACCTGGGGACAGAGAGGCCTCCTCAGCACCTGGCCCCCAGGGTGCCAAGTGGAGTGGGGGAGCCCTGGAGGCACGCCCCGCCTCAGTGAGGTCTGTTGTGCATTTTTGAGGTCAATAAATGACAGCAATAAATAAGTAGCAGGGTGAGGTGGGGAAGGGTTCCCGGTAGAAAATGAAAGTGGGGTGACAGAAGCTGGGGGCATCCTTAGAAGGGGGTCTTGGGCAGCCTCCATCCCCACAGCTCACACCCACCCCGGTCTGGACCGTCAGACAGAGGCGCTGTCAAGCCTCCATCTCCCGGCATCGAGGCCTCTGATTCACAGGGTCGAGGCGTCTGCCCCTCCGCCATTCTGGGGAGGACGACCTTGGTCCCTACAGGGGATCGCGGAAGATTATTTGCTTGAAGGCCGGTCTTGTCTTTGTTTTGATTTGTTTGCAGCCTCCGGGGTTGCATTTGGTGTGGCTCCACCTGGTGGAGCCTGCGGTGGCCCCAAGTCTGAGAAACAAATACATTCATCACTGCACAAGTAGACTGACACAGAGCAATGCTGCTCAGGGCGTCGGCGTTCGTGTTGGTAAGGACCCGGCCCAGTCAGCCCCTTCGGCTGGGCTGCCAGGAGTGGGTTTAGGGATGGGCGCCTTCCTGGGGGAGGGTGGGAATCCGCAGAAGTTGTCTGGGCTGCAAAGGTCCCGGCTTTCTGGCTTGAGTGGGAACTGCCCATCACCCCATCCCTGAGGTCACGGGCAGAGCAGCAGGCGGGAACTTGCCACCACCCTCGGGCCCAGACCTAGACTGAGGTCCTGTGGCCAGAGCTGATGGCCACCCCCTGCCGGTCAGCTGGCCAGGACCACCTGCCCAGCCCCATGGACTTGGGGGTGGTCAGCATGGGCCCAAGGTCTTCTGTGCCAGCTGAGATTGGAGAGGCTGGCAGAACGGATATGGGGGCTCAGGTGAATGGGGCCCAGGGCTGCCTCTCTGCCGGTGAGCCGAGCCGCTCCAGGGTCCCCTACGAGGGGCCTCCAAGTGGAAAGTGAGGATTCCCTGGGACTTGGCCTTAAAGCAGCCGAGGTCTGAAACTGTACAAGTTTATGTAAGCAATGAGATCAATATATTAGAACCCATTGAAGTTCCATATTCATTCAAAATGTGTTTTGGTTAAAAAAACAGGTTTGTAAATTTGGATATGAGCTTTGTTTTGGGGAGAGGAGAGACTTTTGTTACAGGGCACATGGTCTCTTCAGAAAGAGACAGAAAGCGAAAAATCACCCCCCGGGGGGGATGGCCACCCCACAATCCCTTCTCTATTCTCCTCTCCGGATCTTGGGCACACACCCGCACCAGGCATGAGTTTAAGCCACCGGGTCCAGGACTCGAACCGCAGTCGACTACATGGGAGTCCAGCGACATAGCCATTACACCATCTGCTGGTCCCTTTCTTTTTCGTTTATCCTCTTTCCTATGTGACATCTGCTATTTTCTGTTTTCGATTTCTCTGAAACATTCAGGAATTAAGTGACGAAAGCAGAGACCTGTAAGCCACCCTTGGCCTCCGAAGGCCTACCTTCCTTGTGAGGCTCTTCACATCTTCACATGCACACACGCTCCCGAGCACACGCTCAACACGGAATCAAAAGAAAATAAAAAACTGAAGTGTTGTATTCTTCCCATCCCACCCCACAAACCCTTACAATCTTGAGTAGGAAACGAGTGTTTTGCTTTCTCATTAAAATACAGAAAAGGCTCGCTACCACACTAAGGTGGACGCAGTACCATGTCGCACGGCCTCTGCAAAGGAAACACTGTTGTTCACGAGTCACCTCACAGATGTGGCTGCAGTGGCCTGGGAGGCCACGCTGCAGCCGGGGACGTGCACAATTCCCGGGCAGTACAGACTTTGTGTGGTGTGGGTGGAGGGCACAGCGCAGGCCCCCTCACTGACTGGGGGTGGAGCCCGGGGTTCTCGGCCGGACTTGCTGGAACTGGAGACCCAGGGCCAGGTCTCCTTTACCCACCCACAACGAAGGGGAACCAGCTCGGCGTTGGGGCGCCACATGGAAGGGCTCAGCTGACAGCCTTGGTGTGGCCCGAGCCCCCAAAACACGCCGTTCACCACTCGGGTCCCTGTACTCCAGCTCTGGTTTTAGCTGGAGGGTCTCTGCATTTCAACTATTTAAAAATCACTTTGGGAATTATTTTATCTCCCAGACTTCCAAAATGATAACTTACTCAGTTGATTGAAAATAAGCCTGTGAGGCTAGCAGATAGCATAGCAGTTCTGTTGTTGGGCTTCCACATGACTGACCATGGTTCAAGTCCTGGACCCAGTAGCTTGAAAATCACACCAGGTGTGTTTGTGTGCCCAAGATCCCAGGAGGAGAATGGAAGAGAAGGTATTTCCAGGTGGCCATCGCCCCCAGGAGTGATTTCTCACTTTCCCTCTCAAGGTGGCCATCGCCCCCGGGAGTGATTTCTCACTTTCCCTCTCACTGTCTCTGTCTCTTTCTCTCCCGCAGATGCAAGCACCCTATGGCAAAAACTTCTAAAAAAAGAAAATGAGTCAGAATCAAACTTGCTGTGGAAAAAAATTTACTAAAATGAAGAGAATGGCTTCTGAACAACATTACCACAATTTTGGGCTATGTTACAATTATTTACTTGGTTAGTAAAAAATTTTTTGAAAGAATTATTTATTTAATTTTATCATCATCATCATTTTTTTTTAATAATTTTTTTTTGAAGAGATTTTTGCTATAGGGTGCGTGCGCTCACCAGGAAGACAGAGAGAGGCAGAGACAGAAAGCGAGAAATCACCCCCCAGGGGAGATGGTCACGCCGCAATCCCTTCTCCTCCATTCTCCTCCCGGGATCTTGGGCACACACACACGCGTCTGGTGTTAAGTTTAAGCCACCAGGTCTGGAATTCGAACCAGAGTCGACTACGTGGGAGTCCAGTGACATAGCCATTACACTAACTGCTGGTCCCTGTTATTATTTTATTTAATGTGTTTAGGGCACACACACTCACCAGAGAGGGACAGAGAGAGGGAGAGAGAGAAAGTGAGAAAGCAAGCTGCTAGGTTCAGGACTCAAACCACGGTCGGCCATGTGAAAGTCCAGCATCTTAACCACCAGACCACCTACTGATTCCAGTAAAATGATTTCTTTTTCAAGTTATTAATGTATGTGACTGAGGATCTCCACTTCACTACGTCAGAAGAGGAAAGGATGGTCAAACTAGCACTAGACACCCTTGGCGTAATATATAAAGTGAAGGAGTACATGAGGCAATCAGTTTTGGTTACTCAGCTCTTTCATACACTATGTACAAGATTAAAATAATACAGCTGTGCAGGCAAGGCTTCCTTGGGATCTGTCCTCTTCCTGGCGAGGGGTGGCAGGGAGTAGCCGCACCGGGAGATGGTCGTTCGGTTATTTCCCCACCCCCAGGGTAACCGTTAGTGACAAATACGCATGTGCAGGGGCAGCAGGGCGTCCAGGTCGTCTCCCCACATTTTCTGGGATAGAGCAGACCCCCTTGCAATGCTCGCCCATCCTTCCCCACCAAAGGCTTCTTTTCCCCTCCCTCTTACTTAGTTAACACGTCCTTGAGAGAAGCATCGTCCACATGCGAAAGACGGGAAGCCTTGATGGGCTTGGTGTTGCTGAGGATGAAAAGTCCACTAGAGGGGACAGAATTTCCTCCCACGCGCTCACTGTGATGTGTGGCGTGCGTTGTTCCTAAATGACGGAATTCCATAAGAGGGCCGTGCTTCCGGAGGACTTTCTACGGCATCTGTCAATCACTGTCAGAGCACCTTCTTCCCAGTCCTCATAGCAGCGTCACCTCCTCTATGACCATAACCTGAGGAGACCACGTGCAGTCCGTATCCCCCGCCGTCCCCTTACCTGCCCAGGTAAGAACACGCGCCACACAGTGAGAACGTGCAGCGGCGTGTGATGCTCCTGCTTTGGAGAGCTGGGGTGGGGTTACGGGCCCCCAGAACCTCTCAGTAGGAGGATCTGCGGATTATGGCCTGGGGGGAGAGTTTGTGTGACTTGCAAGCAAACCTTGAAAATTGATCACTAATATCACCGAAAACGCAAATGAATTAAATAACAAAGGATACTGATTATAAAATATTTGATCCTCTCAGGATGTTGTTTTAGGATGCCCCTTCTTCCATCCCGTCTAAAAGTCAGAGGCATATGCTACTTCAGGACACTCCCGAATCCTGCAGTTCCGTTGTACCCAGTAGGGGGCGATGTTGCCTTCAAAATGTGCAGTTGCTCCATCCCCCTGGTGGGCCTGTGATCCTTCTCCATTTTCAAGACAGATATTATTTTCAGTGTCATATAGAAAGATTTTTTTTCCCTCTAAACTTGAAGAAAGTGAGAGTCGAAGAAGAAAAACAGAAGAATCAAAGGATTGTCCTTTTTATCCCCTATCTTCAGAAGAGAGGCTTCATGGCATGTGACATTCCTGGAGGTCGCCGTCAAAGTCCCAAAGTACGAAATGCATCTCGTAAGTCATCGACCTCGTACAGGGGCTGGAGAGACGGAAGTAAATTGAGGGTATGTTTTCGAACCCGAATTTGGGGAGGAGGTGGCGGGGGGGCTTCTATACTGCGCAGATAGCTTGGTACATTGTGCAAGAAAGACGTTAAGAGGCAGTAGAAGAGGAGACAGGAGGAGGAAAGAATTCTGACCAGAAAGAAGACTTGAGAGGCAAGGAGGAAGGGGAAGGGCAGGGAATCTCAGCCGAGGGCTCTGGCTTGTCAAACTGGAGAAAACAGAACTGTAGAAGAAAGAAGGTTTTCTTCAGATGAAAAATAAGAGTGATTTAAAAAAAAATTAGAAATATCAGGACCAGCAGTTGGCATAATGGCTATGTCGCTGGACTCCCATGTAGCCAACTGCGGTTCAAGTCTCGGACCCGGTGGTTTAAATTTATGGGCACGTGTGCGTGCGTGCCCAAGATCCTGAGAGGAGAATGGAGGAGAAGGGATTGCGGCGTGGCCATCCCCCCCCGGGGGGTGATTTCTCACTTTCTGTTTCTGTCTTTCTGGTGAGCGCACGCACCATATAGCAAAAACCTCTCAAAAAAAAAAAAAAAAAAAAA